GTCATTTCACCTTTGATTATGAAATTGCAATTGTAGCATTTTAGTCTTTAACGTTTGTAGAATTAATTTAAATAAACTTAAATAATTTTATTAAAATATAATAAAAATTATAATTATCAAATACACTACTAATTACGGTAACTAATTAACTAATTACTAAAATATCATATTTTCTAATTTATGACACTAATTTTGAATTATTTTGAAATAGTGTGCTAATTTACTAAAAAAATAAGGAATAACTTATTTAATTAATTATAAAACCTATGTAATGAATATAAGGGTTATTTTAGTAGTTTCAAAAATAGTAAGAGTAATATATTTATAACTATATAATACTAAATTATTAGCTTATCATTATTGGCTACTTAATTTATACAAAAAATAGGTATTATCGATTAAAATATATTTTCAACATATTTATTGAAAATCAATAAGTATAAATAAATTAATTTGAAAAAAGAGGATCAAAATTGGTCGTCAACATGTGGGTCAACTCACTGACGTCCAGCACGAGCAGAAATACCTGGATCTGCATAAAAATATGCAAAAACGTAGCATGAGTACACCACAACGGTATCCAGTAAGTATCAAGCCTAACCTCGCTATAGTAGTTACGAGGCGAGGTCATGACACCTACTAGACATAGAAACCTGAATAAAATATTAATATAATATAATAACAAAAAACAAAGAAATAAATGACAACAAAACAACATAATGATACAAGGCTAACAACGGATATTAAGGCAATAAAGGACAACAAAGAGGGAACATATGATAAGAACAATAAGTGATCAAATACCGAAAAATACAAGTAAAACGAATGAAGGAAAGATAATAATTGTTCAAATCAGCAAGCCTTTTCGATATAAAATGTATGACAAGAATCACATCCGAGGTACCACACATCATATTCACATTTCCCAAGTCACAATCACAATTTCCTTATATCGCCGCATGAGCCTTGAATTTATTTTAAAAATATTTTTTCCGAAATAGCTACACGCGCTTTAGCCCCCTTATCTCGCCGCATGGCTTCAAGTAATTCTCTTACTAGCAACACGCGTATAATTCAACCTTATTTCGCCGCATACGCATCAACCCCTATATTTATACCGCCGTATGCGCATCAATATCACAACACAATAATCAACTCGCACCACACGTGTCCATATGCCACAATATTTGCCAAAATTAACAATACCAATGTTGTCACAACACTTAGCCCACGGCTCAACCACAATATGTACAAGAATATTAATAACAACAAAATGAACGAGAAATAACTCAACAAGGAAAGGTACTCCAATAACCAGCAATTCCAACCACGAATGTGTTAATTGCTCTCAACAACTACCACTTCAACAACTCAACAATGAAGGTACTTCCATGAAACGACATCTTCGAATTCTAATGCATAACATAAGCTTAAAAATGAAAGAGATAGCATGAAATAGCAACTACAACTAAATGCATGAGAATAGCTCAACAAAAGAAAGAATAACGTATAACAACAACTACAAATAAATGCATATAGGGGAAACCTCGACAATGGAAGCTAGAACATGTAATAACAACTTCAATTAAAGTATGCAAGAACAAACTTGACAATGAAAGACAGAACAACTGATAAAAACTTCAATTAAATGCTTATAAGTAACCTAAGAGCCTAAACCGGTCAATTTTTATACATATAAGTCTGTGTAAACACTCGTCACCTCATGTACACGTCTTTTACATAATTCAAATAGTACAATCAGACTCAATCCTAAAGGGTAGTTCTCTCATACAAAGTTAGACAAGATACTTACCTCAACTAGGCTAAATCACCACTTAAAAATAGCTTTTCCTTTAAAACTGCCTCCACACGGCTCAAATCTAACCAAAACGACTTAATATCATCAAACAATGCAACAGAAACCAATTACAATTAAAAAGGTTATGATCTTTACACAATTCTCCAAAAGTCAACTTCGGGCTCGCCCGGTCAAAAGTCGAGTCCAAGGGTAGATCTCGACTACTCATAAACCCACGAGTCCATATATGTGATTTATTTTCAAATCTGAGTCCAATTTGACTCTCAAATTTCAAAATTTATTTTTCAAAACATAGACAATAAGCCCCAAAAATTTCTCCTAGATTCTAATGAATTTGATGTTAAATCTCATATATAATCATATAATATAATTAAGAATTGATCAAAATCACTTACGCAATGATTGTATGTGAAAATTCCTTCTCCAAATCGCCTCCTACCGAGTCTAGGGTTCTAAAATAATAGAAATCAGATCATATCTAGACTATCCAGCCCTTTTGTTCAGGTGCAGAGGTCGCAATTGCGAACTCTTGCAATTGCGGCACCTGACAGACTTGAGGAATATTGCAAATGCGACACTGAATTCACATTATGAAGTCTGCTTCTCTCGCAAATGCGACCATATGATCGCAATTGTGAATCTACCCAGTCGTGCTTCGCAATTGCCAGTGAGGCATCGCAATTGCTATACCTGACCCCTACAGTTCACTTCGCAATTATGAGACCGGTACTCGCAATTGCGATAATTGGAGCATCGGCACACCAGCAACCCAAAAGTGAGTTCAATCCAATCCGAAACACGTTGGAAACTCACTCGAGCCCTTGGGGCTCCAAACCAAACATCCACACAAGTCTAAAAATAATATATGAACTCGCTTGCACTATCAAAATACCAAAATAACATCTAGAACCATGAATTGGACATCAAAATGCATGAAATTCAAAAGAAAACTCAAGAACCTCTGGAATCACAACCAAGCATCCGAATCCTATCAAACCAACTCTGAATGACACCAAATATTGAAGACAAGTTCCATATAGCAAAACAAACCTATTCCAATTCCCAAAATTAAATTTCAAACTCGATAGACATAAAGTCAACCTACTGTCAAACTTAGGGAAACTTCTAAAGCCCAAATTGCCCACTTTCGGCAAAACAAGTCAAATCAACCTAGGGACCTCAGAAATAAATTCCGGGCATACGCCCAAGTCTAAAATTACGATACGAACATATCAGAGCCATCAAAATACCGTTCCGGAGTCATTTTCATAAAAGTAAAACTTCGGTCAATATTTCCAATTTAAGCTTCTAAACCAAGAACCAAAGGGTCCAAAATCAATACAAAACCTTTCCGGAATGAAACTAACCAACCCCGCAAGTCATAAAATCACAAATACATATACGGAAAGCTTCAAAAGGAGAAATGGGGCTCAAATACATAAAATAACCGGTCGGATCATTACACAAACGCGAAGGCCAAAATCCCAGCCTTAGCTCCTCCTTCGCAAACACGACTCCCTCAATGTGAACGCGAAGCACCACTGCCACAAGCATTCACGAACGCGTCTCACCCAGCGCGAACGGGAAGAATAAATGACCTCCAGCCAACACTACAAGAAAAAAGGCCTATAGTGAGGGGAAAAGCGGTCGTTAGAAGTCCAAATCCGGTCGTTATAAGCTTGTAGCGACCGGAGAACATCCGGTCATCACCGATCGTTAAAAGCATTGACGTTAAAAGTTAACGACCGGACTTTTAAGTCAGTCTTTAAAGGTCCTTTAGAGACAATATAAATTCCGGTCGTTGTATGTATTTTTAGCGACAGATTTTTCCTTTGCTAAATTGTCATCTTGGTCGTTAAAAAACTTTATGGGAGCAACAAATTTGGTCGTTACAGGTACTTTTAATGCCCAAATTTCCCTTCGCTAATGAGAAGTTTTTCTAAATATAATTATAAAACTTATTTTACTAAATATAAAATAATTATTTCATATGCTTTCACACACACACGACACAATCAAAACTATATTAAATAATCAATATTCATATGAAAAATAAAACCGTCCAAATTGTATGGAAACGTTTTAACAACTCCTAAAAAGAGAAAAAATGCGTTCAATGTACATAAAATGTCTTTAAACCACCCCTAAGAAAATAAATTTCTTGTATTTCAACTTTTTGCTCTGCACTGTTTCAAGGATTGATACTTCGAACTTTCAAATTCTTGATCTGCTACACTTTACGCGTATATGACTTGTATTAGAACTACATAGCCTTCTTGATCAAATTGCCTCCAGTAGGTCCATGACAAATAAAGGCTTCAATATCTTCTTTAATCAAACTGCTATACAAACTAGCTGCAAACTTCACCAAGGGACTTGAAAGACTCATTTAATTTCTTTTTACGGAGGCACAAACAATTCCAAAATTATTTTGGTAATTCATTTTCTAAGACTTTTATGCAAATTATGAATTTGTATTCTTTTTCATGGTTATTTCTTTTTTACTTCCTCATTGGAGAGATGGCAATACCTTACAATTACAATTACTTATGATCTTAGAAGTTCTAAAGTACCTGCTTAGCAAAATACAGGACATGAAAATACATCACGGTAGCAACACTAAATACTAGACTCTAATCAGGGGCGAAGCTACGTGCAACCAAGGGTAGTCAACTGACTACCCTTCGTCGGAAAATTATACTCCGTATAAGGTAAAATATTACTTATTATTGATTAAAAATAGACTTTGAACACCCTTATATAGCCCACTGACAAAGGTTTGAACACCCTTGTTGAATTTTCTGGCTTCGCCACTGACTCTAATTGCTAATAATCAAATAAAACTAACTAAAAAATCCAGTCAGGATACCCTAATACAAGCCAAAAGGAAAAGAAGACTAACAATGTGAACATGCTCTCGATTTCCCCACTAAGGTAAGATTTGAACATAGAACAAACAACTTTTCTTTATACTGTATATATCCGAAATTCAAAAATAAAGCCATCTCCCTTCTAAAATAAGAAAATAAACAAATAAACAAGTATCATCTACCTCTAGCGGAGCATGAGAAAGTAAGACTTTCAAGCTACTTTAGAAGATTAATACACAACTTCTAATTAAGTAATTCTCATTTAAAGCATCCGATGACAGTCTCAATCTCCATTAATGCAGCGAGCATAATAATTGAAAATACAAATATTATGAAATAAAAGATTAATACTACAAGAAATTTAGAGCATCAAGCATTATAATCCCCACAACCACTGAAAGAAATCAGATTAGTGAGTATGGGTGTCTAAAAAGATGAAATTTTTTGGGAATGGAAAGATTGTTGGCGCATGGCTGTAAAGATGGAAAAAGAGTGAGTCCAAAGTCTCACATATAATGTTCACAACCAGCAACAAATACAAGTTATTTGACATGCATCAAGCTTGAAAAATAAAGCAAGAAAATGATGTTCTAAATCCTTACAGTAATAGCTTCCTCTGTTCCAGCTTATCTTCTTCGATGTTTGCCCATGAGTATACCCTCAATGGACACATTTAATGATCACGAACAAGCACACCTAACTATCTTGTAAATGAGGCGTGATGCTTCCCTACAACTTAGTAGTGGTAAATATGCCTCTCAAGAAGCAAGGCTCAAATTGATACTCTGGTCGCAGAATAATTTATCAAAATTTTAAAGCTAAAATATGATTCCATGGAGCTACAATCTCCTAGGATTCTTGTGAATCCAGTTAGAATTAGAATCAAATAAACGGGAAAGTATGATCAAAACTAGTTACTATGGGCATAGTTGATTGATGCGTATAAGTGACTTAGCTTTAAAATATACAACATAAATAAAATATACAAAAAGCACAATAATGCATAATGAAAGATCTTGGCCTTTTCAGGTCCATATATTGTCATCCAAATAACAGGAGGGTGCAGAATCTAAAATTAAATTCAGACTCCCGGCAGTTATCTCACGTGGATTATGTAAAGCAAATATTGGGCATAATTAAAAAAACCCAAGTTTAAAGCAAGGCTCAAGGAATAATATAATCCATTACTCGGGGATGAAACACTAAAAGAATTAAGATGTTCACTTTAAAGGCAGACAACGCAAGATTGGAAGAATGTTCAGAAGTTTAAACATCTAAAAGTGTTCCCCTTTCATGAGTTACTAATAATTTGTTTGATTTGTTTTCTTGTTGGTAATGTAAATAGCTCATAGAGCAGAAAATAAATGCACATTTTATATTTATCCCAACATTACATAAGAAATGCTACTATGTTCAACTTTAACTTTACCACATATAGAGATTCAATTTCAAGTGGTTCTCCCATTATATTTGGTGAGGAAGGAGATTCTTTCGAGACTTTTTAACTCATAATTGAGTCCCAGCGAGAAGAATGACGATGGCAATGACGAGTATTTTCAAACCATTTACTAACTTGTATATTTTACAAAAAGAAACTAAGGAAAAAGAAGGCAGCAGTGAAGCAAAATCAAAGATACAAGTGGAGAAAATGCGGATGAAGCTGAAATTAACATACGTAAGGGAGAACTCATAAAACTTTGTGAGTTGTTAGGCCTAATTCTTTACCCAACTTCTCATTTGCATCACGGTCAGGATACTGATTTTCCTTGAAGGATTCGTAGAGCCTCTGAAATCCCAAAAATGATTGAGCTGAAGTGGGAAAATGCATGAAAACTATCAAAGAATATTCTTTTAGTAAAGTAAAGAAATAAGTTGATTAATTGCTCTAAATCACAAACTAGGTAGGTCTGCCATATGAAGCCTTCAGTCACAATTCGTTCTAAAACTAATCAAACTGTCTCTTCAAGCAAATTCAAAAAACCATGATATTCAAAACAAAAATAAAAAATAAAAACAAAAACCATACATCCATACATCTTTTTAAAAATACTTTCTTTTAGAGGGGATTACCATATTAGGCAAGCACAACTACAAATAAGTATTACTACTTTCTTTTTTGGAGGCAATAAAAGAGTAAACAAGTTCTGCTTAATAGTTAATAAAGTTAGTTTATGATATCCATTGTATATAACTTGTTCAAGAATGACATAACAATGACCTCCTACCTTTAATAGAAATTGTTTGTAATTTCATGGAAAGTAAGATGTTGTTGGACCTATAAACACTGATCAAATATGTAAAAAGTTGGAACCAGAGTAAAGCCCACAATACCTTGATGGCACTTTCCCTATATGTTTTCTTTTTACCACTTGAATGAAGTTCTGAGGTGTCCATGCCTCCAATTTTGAGTTTCTCACAGAGATCCCTATCAGAAGTATGTCTACTCCCTTTCTGCTTCCCACTTTGGTACTTTGTATCTGCTAAAGTCGAACTAGGAGAAGTCATAGTAGCTTTGGGACTTCTGATCTCTCTCTCCTTGGGTGAAGGACCACCCTCAAAATCTACATCACTAGAATTAGAAGATTCATTTCCATATATTTTCTTCATACAAAAGTGGTCTGAGCAATCAACCCAAGCAGGTGGAATATAAAAAGATAAGGAGCCACATTGAAGAACACACGTGCATATATGATCGATGAAATATGACATGCAGAGACATACAATTTCAATGAAATAAATCATTGTTTTTCCCGTATAATCGAACTTAATTTATGTTATACAATAAAGAAAAATAATATGTCCCATCGCAGATAATCGATTTTCTCAATCTTACCCTAAAATAAGCAGTTAAGACTTCACATATTAAACTCCATAATAATTTGCAAGCTCGACATTCCAACTTGGTTGTATTAGAATAATTGTCCATCAGCTCTACCAGCTGAATCACATCATATGAAAGTTACAAGCCGTGTTTTGGAAGAAAAATGTCATTCTCTTTCTTTCCAAGAGATGACCTTTATATCAAGTAACCAACAAGGGAAAACAGCAAAGAAGGTCGGCTACTGGATTCAGTGAAATCGATACCTCAGCAACCTAAATATTAGTCATGCACCTCTTTCAGAGTTGAAAGAGTAACAACAATTTACTATAATGACAAGTGCTTGACTGCTTTTACAACTTAAGCACCTATTATAATGATCAATCTAGGAAAAAAAAATGAAGTAATCATTTCCGCAAATACTGGACAACAATTCTTTATAAGAGATTTTAAAAAATTAAACAAAGTTAAAAGAGCCAAGATTTGTTGCTACAAGTTGTGAACTGGAAACATAACAATTAAGTGAAGCAAAAACTCAAACACCAAGCTGATATCTAAAACTCAATAGAAATACCTTTATATGGTAACACCCAAAACAATGCAAATTACTTTTAAGCTTCGATCGTCAAAACCACTGCCTAATTTTTACGCATTGAAATTTATCCTTCTAAGGCTCTAAATTTTTGAAAACCCAACTCAAGAACGACTGAATCTTTTACTCAACACAAAGGAAAACAGAAGTCATGTCATAAAGAAGGAGAAAGCAAGAGAAAAACACAAATGAAAAGCAGTAGAATAGATAGAGATGATGATATGGTGATTACACATTGAAACTAACCATTCCACAAATTCATATTTCTTAAGCCCAGATTAAAATAATCAAAAAATTCTTAAGTCCAAATTAAGATAAACTGAAATTGATCTTACAACAAATTCTTGATTCTAAACCGACTATGCCATAATTTTTGAATACCAACATCACCAAAGTGAAAACCAAATCACAACCCTATTAATTTGAACCAAAATTAAAATATAAAAAGAGTAAAATTTCAAATCTTACCTTGATGAGAAGAAACTCTAAGATGAGTAGTTGATGCCGGCGGAGGTGACAAACGTTTTTCTCTTCTCCCATAAATTTTTGATAGCAGTTTCAGGTTTTGATCAGCAGTAGACTAAGGGTCTTTTTGGAGGGGGGGAGGGGCGGGCGTAGGGTGAGTTTGGGGGGGAAAGAGGAAAAATATAATGCCTATTTTTTAATTGATTAATTATAATTTTTAACGACCGGATATTATTAATTAGTTAATGTCAAACTAAAAATTGGCTTTAACGACAGGAAAAAAATTTGGTCGCTATAAATACATCAATAACGACCAGATTAATGACCCTTCGTTAAGAAATGGTCGTTAAAAAGCATATTTCTTGTAGTGCAAATTCCTTCTTCGCGAATGCGAGACACCCCTCGCAAACGTAATAAACATAAGACACCGGCACATCAGCCAATTCAAACATGCTTTGGGTGGTCAGAAACTCACCCGAGCCACTAGGAACCCCATTCAAATATGCCAGCAAGTCCATAAATACTACCCGGACCTATGCATATCTCTCAAATACATACAAGATCATCACATCTACGAATTAAAGATCAAACCATAAGTTGAACTCCTCCTAAGTTCAAGAACTTCTAAACATCCAATCAAGCGTTCGATTCATGCCTAAACACTTCGGATTACAACCAATATTTGGACACAAGTTTCATTCAACAAAACGAACCTATTCCGAGTTCTGAACAATAATCTGAGTTCGATATCATCAAAGTCAACTATCGATCAAACTTCAAAACTCTCCAATACTTACATTTCTAACTTTCGACAAATAGGCTCAATATTTTGTAGGAGCATCAAAAATAAAATCTAAACATCAAAAATACATACTTCTAAGTTCAAAATAAGCATATGAATCTATTGGAATCATCAAATCTCTAATTCGAGGTCTTTTACTCAAAAGTCAAACCTTGGTTAACTCTTCTAACTTAAAACTTTCAAAATAAAACTAAGTGTTCCAATTAATTCTCGAACCCCATAAAAATCAAATCTCCCATCTCCACAAGTCATAAAACATCAAGTACACATAAAACATCAACTTCTTTTTACAGTGGGTCCACGCAGAGCCTCCACTAGTGTGAAGAATAGACAAGAACGTGAGAAATCACACTAGGGTGGGCATCGGTCCGTTCGGTTCGGTTATGAATGTTATCGGTTCAGCATATCTGTTATCGATTTATAAATATACTAAACCAATAATCGAATCGATAAGATATCGATTATCGGGTATCTGTTAGTCGATTATTGATCCTTATTGGTTCAGTTATCGGTTTACCGATAAGAATAAAAAATATTCAGAAATCGTGATCATACTGTAAAGAGAAAGGAACTGAATTTTTGGTCTTAAGAAAAGAGGGATTAAATTTTAACTTTAGAAAACAAAACTTTCTTTGCATTTGAAAATATCCCAATGAATAATCTTAATATTCAAAGTTACATGTTATTAGGAATAGGAATAAGAAACTCAACAATCTAATGTTACTAACCATATCACTGCGAGCGGGCATAATTCACAGAAAAATAATAAAACCTAATCTTGTAAATACTAAAAAATCAGTGCAACAAAAGAAACAAATAGAAAAACTAAAAAACTGAACAATTAATTCTTTAAAAGTTTAAAACTAAAAATCTTAACTGAAAAATTATGTAACGACCCGGCCGGTCGTTTTGAGAGTTATAACCCCGATCCCCTATTAACTGCTTCTCCCATATATATTTCTGCTATTGTGACTTGTCGGGAGATTTCGTTTTAGTTTTTAGAGTATTTTGGGACACTTAGTCCCTAAATGGAGATTTAAGCCTTAGGATTTGGACCGTAGTTGGAAGTGTGTGAAGACGACTCCAGAATGGAGTTCTGTCAGTTCCGTTAGCTCAGTTAGGTGATTTTGGACTTAGCGGCATGTCCGGATTGTGTTTTGGAGGTCTATAACTCAAGTTAGGCTTAAAATGGCGAAAGTCGAAGTTTTGAAGATTTTAACCGGTAATGAACTTTTTGATATCGGAGTTGGATTCTAATTTCGGAGGTTAGAATAGGTCTGTAGGGTTGAATATGACCCGTGTGCAAATTTGGGGTCAATCAAATGTGGTTTGGTTGGTTTCGGCATCAGTTGTCGAATTTGGATGTTTCAAGTTCTTTAAGTTTGAATCGGAGGATGATTTGTGATTTTAGCGTTGTTTGATGTGGTTTAAGGGCCCGACTAAGTTCGTGTGGTATTTTAGGATTGGTTAGTATGTTTGGTTGAGGTCCCAGGGGCCTCGGGTGAGTTTCGAGTGGTTAACGGACTTGGAATGGAAGTTGAGGAATTTCTGAAGTTTGGCCTTTTGATGGTATGATCGCACTGGAGGGTATTACCCGCAGGTGCGATTCCGCATGTGCGGCAGGTTGAGCACACGTGCGGAAAGGGTGGAGATCAGCAAAGGTCACAGGTGCAATGGTTTCTCCGTACCTGCGATAGTGCAGATGCGGATCAGTGGTCGCAGAAGCGGAGGCAGCCAGAGTTAGTCCTTTTCGCAGGTGCGCCCATATTTTTCACACTAGAGGGCACGCAGGTGCGGCCCCTTGCCACGGATGCGGATGCGGACCCAACCCCTTCAGTAATTTTTCACACCTGTGATGGTATTTCCGCAGGTGCGGTTGAAGGCTCGCAGATACGTGTTTCCTGGCAGAAAAAGGACCAAATCGAGGGTTTTATCTCATTTCAATTTTTGGGACTTTGAGAGCTCGGATTAAGGCGATACTTCGAAGGGTTTTTAGAGAAATCTTGTGGGTAACGATTCTTCACTCCTTTCTGGTTATATTCCTCTAATCTATGGTTGATTTTATCATCTAATTAAGAAATATTGTTGAGCAATTTGGGGAAAAATGGTAGAAATTCTTCAACTAAGATTTTGGTCTTTGATTTGGATTTTAACATCGGATTTGGATGCTTTTTGTACGAGTGAACTCGTGAGTGAATGAGTGTTCATATTTTGTGACTTTTACCCGATTCCGAGACGTGGGCCCGGGGAGACTTTTTAGGGCGATTTTTCCATTTCTTGCTTTAGCTTTTATTTCAGTAGCTAGCTTAGTTCCTTGTAGTTATATTTATAATATGTAATTGATTTTGGCTAGATTTGGGAAATTCTGAGTCAGATTTTCATTGAAAGAGCATTGTTATGGATTGATTGAGCTTGATTCGAGGTAAGTGGCTTGCCTAACCTTATGTGGGGGAAATCCCATTAAGATCTGGTGTTATTATGATATGTGAAAGCCGTGTACGCAAGGTGACGAGTGCGTACATAGGCTATTTGTAGAAAAAAAACCTGATTTTTACCGACTAATAGCCTGTTTTCATCTTATCTAAGTATACTAGCATGTGTAGTTAGCCTAGAATAGCATGTCTACGTGTCCTAATAGCCTATTTGACTCTTTGCAGCATGCTTAGTAAATCCTCCTTCTTTCTTGACTTGTACTTAGTCTAAATTATAGGTTTCTTGCTGTAACGATTATATTCATTTGCTTGAGATGCGTATTTACTTTAGGACTATGGGACGGTATCCCTGGAGATCCCCCTGCATATTTATTTTTGAGACTACGAGGTGGTTCCTCGGGAGTTCTCCCTGCACATTTACTTTTGAGACTGTGAGGCGGTTCCTTAGGAGTTCTCCCTGCATATATACTTTTGAGACTATGAGGTGGTACCTCGGAAAGTTTCCTTGTAATTTTATTTGGGACTACGAGACGGTATCTCGAGAGATCCCCTGCTGTTTATCCGTGTGTTCTGCGTTGCTACTTTGCTATGTTCTCTTTGTTTAAATTCCAGTCTCTTATTATATTGTTATACTCTCCTGCTTATTTATAATATACATGTAAGGCCTTGACCTGACCTCGTCACTACTCGGCCGAGGTTAGGTTTGGCACTTATTGGGTACCGCTGTGGTGTACTCACGCCCTTTCATGCACATGTTTTTCGTGTGCAGATCCAGGTTCCTTTTACCAGCCTCGTCCTTAGTTGTAGTCGCTGCTGTTTTTCGGAGATCTTCAAGGTACATCTGCCCGCGCCCGCAGATCCTCGGAGTCCCCCTCTACCCCTTATGTTGATTCTTCCTTTATTTCTATAGACACTGATGTATAGAACAGTTAGAACTTCGTAGAAGCTTGTGGCTTACGGTGTTTCGGGTCTTGGGAGTGTTATGTACATTTTGTGAGTTGATTATTGTATATGCAGAGTGGCATCTCAATTGCTTATTAAAAATTATCTGTTACTGCTAGTTGCTAATTTTTATGTTTTTCATTCCATTTCCGCAAGTGTTAGGCTTACCTAGTCGTAGAGACTAAGTATTGTGACGACGATTCACGGAGGGAGAATTTGGGTCGTGACAAATTAGTATCAGAGCTCTAGGTTCATAGGTGTTGTGAGTCACAAGCCGGTTTATTATAGTCTCGCGGATCGGTACAGAGATGTCTGTACTTATCTTCGGGAGACTATGGAACTGTTAGGAACAATCATGCTTCTTTTGATTCCTTGTCATGTGAGTTATTGGCATCAAACTCTAAAATTCTCTATACTATTCTTCTCACAGATGGTGAAGACCTGTACCGGAGGATCTGATGACCAGGCACTCGCGCCCCTTGCTAGAGCCGCCAGAGGCCGAGGCCGGGGTAGAGGACAAGCACGCGGTGCAGGTAGAGCACCCGCGCGAGCTGTGATAGAGAAGTCCCCAGCAGATCCAGCTGGAGCGCAGGCACTGGAGGTTCCCATTGCTGCACTAGCCCTCCAAGAGACTCTAGCCCGGTTCATGAGCATGTTCAGCACCTTAGCTTAGGCTGGATTAATTCCATTAGCTCCCGCCATATCTCAGGTCGGGGGAGGGGCACAGACTCCTGCAACCCATACTGCTGAGCAGAGGGTCCATGTCGATCAGGCCCCAGAGTTTATTCATATGCCGCCGGTAGCTCCAGTTCAGCATGAGACTAGGATAGCCACTTCTGAAGCAGAGTAACTCAGACTTGAGAGGTATAAGAAGTACCACCCACCTACCTTCAGCAGATTAGCTACAGAGGATGCTCAAGGTTTTCTAGAGGAGTGACATCGTATTCTCCGTACTATGGGCGTAGCGGAGA